TTCAAAGTATTTTTGTTTTCTATTCCAATATTTTTATTTTTTTTTTCAAGTGAAAGCTGTTCATTTTCCCTCCAACATAACAATTAATGATTTTAATTTCAGTTTTGTTTTAAGGTGATCTAGGTGGAGAAGTTGAATTTCTATTTACAAAAATACGCTAATTATAATGTGTTCAGTGAGTTACTAAAATTCATATTCCATCAAAATTGTGTGTGGTTGTGTGCGTATGCGTATTGGCGTGTAATCAATGTATCCAATCAATGTGTCTTTCTATTTTATCTGTTTAATTGTCAACTGGATTGTGTGTCATTTTATTTGTTTATGTCTCTGTTTTTTTTAAATCTATCTTTCACTCTTGCCCGATTGTTTTATGTTTTAATCGAGAAAAGCAAATATTGCATTTTTGTATGTGCACCAAACTGTTTTGTGATGAATGATAATTGGCTTTTGCATTTTGTCTTTTGTGACCATGTTCATTTTCTTGATCAATCTTTTCAAGCAGTATTTGTTGATACGGGAGAAGTGAAAAATCTAAATGGAATGAAAACATATGCATAAATGGCAAATGGTGTTATATTGAAGGACAAGAAAAAAGTTCTCTACGTGCTATCTTGTCCGTGTTTTTTACTGTACTTTTTATGTCATTTATATATCGAACATTTTCGATCGTGTTCATTTTTGTTGTTCTATATTTTTCCATTTACAATGAAAGTAACATCTTTGAAGAAATCGTATACAAATTATAAATCACCTACAATTTCAGTATTTTAATCATTAATTAACCTAACTCGTGTTCGATTTCAATGTTAGTAATAACATCTGTGAAAAAATATTTATAGGAAATAAATCGATTCTTCAAAAGTGTGTAGGATTAGAGTGTTTCAGGAATTATACCGAATACGTATTACATAACTCAATCAATTTCGATAGAATAACAAAATCTTCATTTCATCAGTTGACTTTGTATAGCTGTGTGACAATTTCACAACAATGTGTCCATCTTTCGACGCAGAAATCTGTGTTTGCTGTACATCAAAATTGCAAATCGCTATATATAGCATATGTTTATTAACGTTATGCAAACGCAACTGAAATCTTTGATCAACATTAATTCTTTTGCCTCTTTTTTCCGTCTCGCTACTGAAATTGCCGGCTACTGAAATTGTATGCCGAAGAAAACAAAATCAAAGCTAATAAATAACTCACTGTATGTGTACTCAAAAAAAAAGAACTCATGTCGTTGGAACAAATCGATCGGCATTGGCTGAAGAAAAAAATGGACGTTTTCCCACTTTTGTGTTTTATGATTATGATTGTTTGTCTTCCAAACAATCGCAGTAAAAAAAACACTAAACCAACTGTTTGCTCTTCAAATAAAATAAGACGTTAGCACCTTCACCAAGCAGTCATATGTGAGCATTCGCGTGATTTCCATTTGGAATGTTGAGTTCTTCGAGGTATGTTTTTAAAAATAATATTTTCGATGGTTTTTGAAAAGTCAATAGAACGAATAAAGAAAAACAACAAATTTTACTGACCAAATTTTTTACAAACATTTGTTAAACGAATTGAACAAAAAAAATCACGTTTATAATGATAACGGCCGCTCAGAAATGGCATCGTACAATGTGTATAATTACTATCCCGAAGAATTGTATTTCTTTCTCGCATCACAGTAATTTATAAGAGAGATAAACAAATTATTATTAATTGTTTAGCCATTTATGTTTGAATGAGCAAGTGAGAGAGAACCAGCTGGTCTTATCAGATGCAGTGACCGCAGAATAAAAAATGGGCAACACACATACTTAAACACGAACACATTTGTCGGCCAATATTACTATTGAAATGCAAGAGATGCGATTTTACCACATAAATAAAAAAAAAACTACAAGAAAAATGCATAAAAATCGAACACAAACCAAACGGATTCATGAGCATTCAACAACTGTAACCCGGAATATATGTGTGTTTTTTCTCTTTTTTTGCTTACACCAGATAAAAGCAATACAAATTTGTTGATATGCACCCAAGATGTTATGACGTCTGCAATAAATATTTATTTTTTTCTTCTTCTCTCGTTTAATATTTTTCTCAGTCTCACAATTTTGCTCGTTTGCACACATATGCACACGCACCATCACATACGTAGAGTGTGCTAGAGCAATTGCGAGGCTAGAACTAACTGCTTACAGACAAAATCAACCTGGCTCAAAGACAGCGATGGACTTGTACAATGGAATATGATAGGCATTTAATATGCAAAATACGATTAAACCGATTGCACTAGCTATCCTCATATTGTGTCCACACCAGACTCACTGTACACATACTTGCAGCATTCAAGTTATGTGCACGGAACTAACAACACACCGATATTACCCAAGTCTGTGCAATCGATTTGCTTACAGCAAGTTTATCACAAATAGTTGATCGTAACTAGAGAAAAAAAAGACGACGTGCGCCAACATTTCACAATGCATGGTGAGTCCGTTCGGCTTTGCCGCATTTCTCACTCTCTTGCGCGAATTTATATCATCTCGTTGATATCAAAGAGCTGAAGACTGTGTCTACACCGCGCGTGGTCAAACAGGACAGACACAAACCTGAAATTAGTTAGCACAATTGGCGGTGCGGGAGAAAAATAAATATAAGTACAGAAGAGAAGAAAAAAAATTGCATTATAACATATTCTGTTTTCTTCTTTCAAATGAATGCATGCGATTATAATAATAATAATAAAATCACTGTGCTGCCAATAATTTTAAGCTCTTTGAATATTGCATACATGACGATTGTAATGGATGAACTTATGCAATTTGAACAAAGTTGTAGAAAATAAAATGCACGCCATGCAGTCAACTGTAATAGTGAATCAATTCTGTTGAAAGCGGCAATTGAATCGACAAAGAATCGACATTTTTCTGCATCCCGAATGGAAAACACGGATGGTTTACCACATTTTGATACGATCACAAACACACATTCGGTGTCACTTTGTGAATATTAATTATTTAATTATAGATTGCATTGTGTGATTGGATACCAATGTGAGTTTGGTGTTGTTGTTTTTATTTTTCATTCCAAGTGTGCAATTTTGATTCCATCACCCAAAGAGAGCTAAATTCCAGCATTGCAATCGAAACATATGGTCAATTGAAATGTTTGGCCTAAATAACGTTAATCAAAAATCCTTGTGTTCACTTTGGACATTTACACATACACACAAGCAACATTTTAGTGAAATATGAACAGCTCTACAGTCATTTTCCCATATTTGGACATTTTGTCTTTCGATTGGATTTCGGATAGAGTTTTAAATTGAATTACATCACAACATTATGCGCAACAACAACAAAATAAAAAGTCTGACAAATAAAAATGTTCATCGAATCAATAAAAATCGGATATGGTCTTGGACATGCCTGCCAAAATAGATTGATTTCGAAATAAATTGGAACAAAAACCAAATCGATAAACTCACTTCCACTTTTGAGCGAATATTTTCAGTTTTTTTTCTTAATTCAATGTTCAACCGAAAACTAGTTAAAGGTTATCGATTAATGCACACATAAATAACCCAAATAATCGATTATGTCACTATAATTTAAACGACAGCAATAAAAATTGTGAAAAAAAAACAATCCAAAATGTTTTAACCCTAAATTTAATTTTCAACAACTGTGTTTCTCGGCTCACTCGAATTCAATAAAAGCATATCAAAACATCATTTGTCTGACTCAACATCGTGAATGTGCATCGTTAGACCCATCTGCACTACTCATTGTGATGTTTTCTCTTGAATGCTTATACAAGCATCACTATTCACAACAAATTAAATGTGTCAGAGTTCAATTGTATTAAATTAATAAATACGCATACAATAACAATAATATCGTATGACCATAACATTAATTCGGATCGAGAGAACCAACTGTATCTCAACACGATTTGATGAACGAATGAGATGGAGAAATGCTGCAAACAGCATTTCAATGCACACCGCAAAGGCAGTCTACAAATGCACATTATTCATTTTCGATGTGCTTTCCACTACTTTCGTTTGTTAATAATATGTGGAGGATCAGCGAAATCAGCTAACTGAGCGCTTAGAAGAAGTTGAAAAAAGATTTTTTTTTCTTTCTAAGTATTTTAAAGAGAAAAAAATATACACTGATAAATACAAGGCGATAAGTGAATATGTGACAGATGAAAGAAACACTCTGGCATAGAGAAGATTATTACTACAGCGTCAAGTCTCAACTAACTTGAAAAATACATACAGCGAAAAAAAAATCATATCGTAAAACATTAGTTCGATATTAAAAGGCTTAAACCTGTCGGCTTAAACGGCTACTGGCGTTTTGTCAATGAGCGTATGACACTTCTGAAAATTGTACGCGTACGCTACATATTCAAGTGAATGAATTGTGGAAATAATTTGTCAAAGTGTCTAGAAATAAAAACAAAAAAAAAACCGTTCGCCCCTTACTCACTCTTTTGCCGTTTAATTTGTGTACTCAACGGGCAGAATGTCGGTGTGCTGTGCATCAACATCGTTACGATGTTGAATAGTGAATGATATAAATATGTAAACGCGCTATATCACTCTTATGCGTGTGTTTGTGTGTATGAATGTTCTCGTTCATCTGATTGTCGAATGTGTGTTTCATTTTATTTCATTGTTTCTCTTTTCGTTATTTGTTTCATTCTTCTTCCTTTTCAGAATTTGTTTTTGTCTCTCTGTGCGTGTTTCTTTCTCTCTATAATTTATCAGTCACTTATGTTGTCGCTAATTAAATTTTATCATTAATCAAATTGAAAATTTAACCAATTTTTCTTAAATTCACTTAAATGTTTGGCCTCGGTTTTTTTTCTCTTGTAATATTTCGTTCATACTGAGGAACTTTTTATATTTGATTTTTGTTTTTGCCAACAATTAGCAGCGAAAACTAAACGAATTATTTGTTTTTCTTTGTTTTGTCATTGCTAATCGATAGGCAGCTCAGCTCCTGGACAACCCACTACGACCATGATCATGGAAGGACTTGAAACACTTGTTGCGCCATCGCATCACGCATTTCTTCTAACGGAGTCCGCAGCTGCGGCACATTTTAATGTTTTAAGCTTTGATACCTGTCTTTTGAAATCGGCAGCAACAACTGCGACATCTTATGTGAACAATAATAATAACAATAATAACCACAACAACAACAACAATAATCTATTTACAATCAACAACAACAACAACACAAGCACATCGCCAGGCATCAATTGCAACTCCAGCAGCGCGAACTGTATGAGCACAAACAACAGCACAACTGATCACGAAAGCAATAATCCATCATCGCATCACCCGAATCATATCGAAAGAAATTCCAATACGGCGCACCATCAATCAATTTCCGACGCACAAACCGGAGATTTGAATACGCCGGTTACAACGTCTAGTGATATACCGTCATTCTTTGGACCAAACACCATTGAACCACCACCGATAACAGGTATGTTAGTGATTTTGTCGCAAATTCTTTGAATCAAAAACAAAATTAATTTTTTATCACTAATTGATATTTTGAGATTCATTCATTCCGTGCCCACCGCAGGGCCCACGAACACACTGTACTATTTTTATTTGATCAATTTTCAACGTTTTAATAGCATGTGGTAGCCATAGCTCATATTATATTTTTGCATAAAAATTTATTATAATTTGTGCTCGTGACTTTTGAAGTAAACAAATTCGAATGAGCGGAAACTTTTTTTTTGTTCAACAAAAAGAAGAAACTCATTTTGTTGACTCAGGATTTTGGCATCATATTATTGTTGCTGTGTGTGCAAGTTTTTTTTTTTGTAACAGTGAGATGTTTTCATCATGTGATCGTTCTATGTTTTTCTAATTCCATTTAAAGAATTATCATAAATATTTATTTAATCAACTTCGTATTTATCCTTTAATGCAAGAGATTTTTTTTCACTTTCTCAATCAGCTGATACAGTTGTGCGTAATTCATAATTCATTTTCGACAAAGGATTAATGTAAGCCCTAAACGGATCAAGGCAATCAATGGTTATTGTTCTGTTTATTTTTCGAAGAAATCTACTCTACGACAATACATCTCTGAATGAACAATTTAATTGTTTGTTCTTTCGGTGTGGTTGATTTGACCTATTGATTTATCAGTTAAAGATGGTCAAGAGTGCTCGAAAGTGTTTGTTTTTCTTTAACAAAAGAATTAAACGCCAAAAAAGTTCAACTCTCAAGCGAACCATTTGATCGGATGTTATTCAAAATGATTTTGGTTCGACGCTCGCTGATATTGTAATACGATATGTAAAAAAAAAAAAACATTGTCATTTCAATAAATTATTACACTCGAAATAAATTTGCTTTGGTACAATTTCAATATGTAGCCAATTTGTAGTGCTCGTATCCAATTCATTCATGAAAAAACGCGAAAAAAAGAGAAGAAAATCAGTTTCTTATGAACCAATGGTAATTTATAGACAAAATATAGAGAGAAAAAAAACACCAACAAATATCGCATGGCACATTGTATTGCGAATACTCTATTCAAAGACGAACAAAAAAAAGAGTCCGAATAAAACGTCGTCTAGTTTTCTTGTTCGGCTAAGCATTGGGCTGCATGATATTTATAGAGAGTGAGTTGAGTAGCCGTTGAAATGGCAAACAGCGAATGAATTGTAATACATTTGCTCTGCTTGCATATGAATTTATCATATATTTTGTTTATTTTTTCAGTAATTTTATCGCGTTTAAAACTTCCGCAAATCTTTAATAGTGTTTGTTTGTTTTATTCCCTTTTTTCATCGTCAAATTTGTCGTTTCATTGCCTTTTTCGTATATATTATGTGTCTTTGGTTGGCATGTCGGGAGGCAGAAAGAGAGCGACAGCAAGAGATACGCATACAATGCTGTTAATAGTATGTATGTTTGTATGCGCTTTGTAACGCCATCCGTTTTCATAAAGTTCGGCCATTCGTTCGAATGAACATATTCACAGAATTTATTACAGTCTAAAGGCAATTGAGATTACAAAAGTTATTTTACAAGTAAATGGACTCGCTCGGATATATAAATATTAAAATGGTGTGGCCGTTTTATTTTCTGTTTTAAACATTTTTTTTAGTTCAAATTCCAACAGCATAAATATTTCTGAAAGAAAATGGAAAAACAGTTTTTGGTATGTGTGTGTGTTTGTTTGTGCACTCGATTCGATGCAGAAAGTTTTTCGTTCAAAATTCCTCTTACATTGACGAGAAAGCGTAAAAATTCATTTATTTTGATTATTTATGGTCTATGAGACTTAATTTTCGGGTGTATTGAACTTATTTGCCAAATTGTCTCCAATTTTAATGGCATATCCTTTTAATAGAATTGTCGAATGTGCTTGAATGCTTCGAAAAAATAAATAAATTCTATCATATCTCTGTTGTTTTCACAAAATTGCACACAAAACAACAAAAAATTATATCATTGTGGTACTAATAAAAGATTGCCTTGTGAAAAGATGACAAACAACAGAAAATAAATATCAGCGAACAATTGGATGCGCCAACACAAGGCTTCTGAATTTCGAGGGAAAATTTATCTATATCCGTTCCAATTTCAAACTACTAACTGAGTTCTGCCACACGGGATGATCCATGTGACGGCATACTTTCACACGCAACTTCGTTCTGAGTATACCGAGATAGAATTTGTTGTTTGTTTGTATATTGGACTTGTGTCGGTAGTACTCAGTACACTCAGAACGAAGTTGTGTGTGAAAGTATGCCGTCACATGGATCATTCCGTGTGGCGGAACTCAGTGAGTACAGTGAATACCCCCGACAAAAACAGATTTACTTCGCATTTTTGCCCACGAATTAAACCAGTGCTAATACGCCTTCGGATGAATAATGTTCAAATTTTCTACCAAATGTTTAATCTCTACCTGGAAATTATACGAATTAAGCATTTGAAATGATGCAGACATCGAATTTCCGCAAATTCATAATAAAAATTGTTTTGCAAAAACAGAACTGACGATAACGCCACTTCAACAAGACACATACTTGAAAAATTAAACGAAGATTTAAAAAAAATAAAGGTCAGAATTTTGCATGATGACGATCACGACTGCCACGTGTTAGTAATAAGAGACCAAATTTCAAAGGCGAAGAATATGGAAGTTACGCCATTCAAAATGTTTTTTGACACCCATCAAACAGCACAGATCTGTATTTACATACATTTCCAGATGTGATTTATGAACTGTATGCACGACGTAACCGCGATTGCAATTAAACACTTTATAAAGAAGAAAAAAATGCATGTTGAGCGCCTTTTATGAAATGGTGGTGCATAAAAGATCGATTAAAATAAAATAGTGTATTGTGAATTTATAGTGAGACGCAATTTTTGATTGCTATCGAAAAGATTTCGAATGAGATTGATCATGCAGTTGATTGCTTCAAGAAAATTTCCCAATGGAACGCTTCGAGGTGCAAACAACACAAACAACGTGGTACAATAAACCGTTTAATCTATGATCTCTCGATAAAAGCGACCTCACTATATTGTTGTTATGATGTGCATCTATTATTTTTTTTGCCCACAAGTTTCATAAATAAAGAAAACCATTTCAAATACAACAACGCCAAATAACGTATTTCGATATATTTAAGCTGGCTTAAATACATAATCTGTCTAAAAGTGGAACAGTCGTCTTGAAAAAATTAAAAAAAAAGTCAAATATCTTGATAATAAAAAAGTGTTCGATGATGTGAGCTACGTGAAGTTGAAATATCCGTTATGGATTAATCCAAAAGACAAGTGCAACGTATCATTTGATTCGGGATACTTTTCAATACGCAAACAAGTTACTTATATACACCCAATAGAAAATTTATATGGAAAAGACACTTAATTTTCATTCAATTGAGTCCATTTGTCATCTGTACGAATCCGACTCGTGAACAGTTTATCCCTGATTGCGTCGCATCTCTGATTCTTGTGTGTATGAGTGATTCTGAAATGCGATTTAAACATTTCTTTGCAATGCTTACTATGGGGCGTCAAATGAGCACGGCATGAGTAGTTTGCATTGAACCATAAGAAGAATAAGTATAATAAGAATGAGATGATGATGATGAAGAAGAAGAAGAATATAAATATCGAAATGATGTTGTGCCGAGTGCGTATTTGACAAAAAAAACTATCGTTGATAAATTAAATGAAACCGGTTGGCCGACGCTACTGTCATTCGACGCTGTGTCATTTAATATACATGAACGGAGTCACAAAAGCCATAAATGCGATAAAAATTAACCGAATGCGTTAAATGGATAATAATTTTTGCGTCGATGATCTGCCACTCTGCAGTCTGAAGTTGATCTATGAATATTCAATTATGATGTTTTATTTGACGACAGAAAAAAAATCACATTTTTAATTGCACCATAATTAACCATTAAATTTTTGAATGAGAGAAAAAAAGAGAGGCATGCACTGACTATGATTTGATTTTTGTTTGGCAATTTGCATAAATTCAGTGGCACAAATATAAACCAATTTTATCATTTTATTTTTATTTTCTAACGTTTACGTTCTTGTTTGTTTGTTTTTTTTCTCGTTTTTTTTTTTTTGTTTTAATTCAGGTTCAATTGATTCAGACGATTTATCGTTGGAACCGCAAACAACATCAAGCCCGCCGCACAGCATCTGCAGCCCATTGAAAGAAGAACGTTGCAGTCCATCGTCGATAATAAAAGAAGAGACAAGTAACACGAGCAGTGTTAATATGTATCCACATCACGGTCATCAACAGAACATTCAAAATGAACAGAGCCTGCAATCGCCACAAATGCAAAAGCAAACACACCATCAGCAATCACAAAACGATCAAAGCATCGATATAATTTCGTATCGTGGCGTTTTCACAACAACAGCCAGCCCAACAATTGGTCTTGGCACACAAATGAGCTCACCGCAAATGTCCATTTTGCCTGGACAAATGTCACCGCCTTCATCGATGACTGGATGGAATTTACCCAGCCCCGATAAGACATTATTCCAACCACCATTGTTCAGTTTGCTTGGGCCAGCTCCACAAAGTACTAGTCAAGCACACTATGTTCCACAAAATTCAACAACAACACAATCACCGTCACCGGTAAGCCAACATCATTCGCACTACGACGAACGTTCGCATCAAGTCGAATTGATCGGCCTAAATATGGACTGTTCAAATCTTATTCTCAACAAACCGCCAAATTATGGTGCCACCATTCCAACATCAATGTCACTTGATATGCATCAAAACAACGATATGAATCAATATCAACGGGCACCCATGAAATATCAGTGGCTCGATTCACCGATCGATTATAATTCACAACAATCATTGCATGTTTCGCTACCATCGTCATCCGCTTCGGGCGGTTTGATTCCAAAACAAGAACAATTCACTGGTTCGATGAGCTGCTCGAGTGACAGTCATTCGCAACAAATGCAACAACAAACCGTGCATGTACAACAATCTCAATCGATGCAACAGCAGCAACAGCAACAACAACAACAGCATGGAATGCAATCATCTTCGTATAATGTACAATTGGCCGAATACAATCCATCGACAAGCAAAGGCCATGAAATTTTATCACAAGTTTACCAACAAGGCACGTTACCATTGAAATTGGTGCCCGTAAAACCGCGTAAGTATCCAAATCGTCCAAGTAAAACACCTGTACACGAACGACCATATGCATGCCCGGTAGAAAATTGCGATCGACGATTTTCACGTTCCGATGAGCTAACGCGTCATATTCGTATTCATACCGGTCAAAAACCATTCCAATGTCGAATTTGTATGCGATCATTTTCACGTTCCGATCATTTGACAACACACATTCGTACACATACCGGCGAAAAACCATTTAGGTGAGTGAAATACAATTCGTTTCCTATATGTACACAATAAAACTCCTAAATACGGTGGAAATTAAAAAAAAAACATTTCTTATATTATTTATTCATACGTATGTTTGTATCATTTTTTTTAAATCATTCAGCTGCGATATTTGTGGCCGAAAATTTGCACGTTCCGATGAAAAGAAACGACACGCCAAAGTACATTTAAAGCAACGCATCAAGAAAGAAAGCAAAATGTCGAGCCAGAGTTTGATGCAGCAGCAGCAGCAACAACAACAACAGCAGCAGCAGCAGCAGCAGCAGCAACAACAACAGCAACAACAGCAACACCAGCAGCATCATATGAATATGATGCATTCACCGGATCAAACAATGATTTCAATATCAACACCAAATTCCACATTGTAGACCGAGGAAATGTCGACACAGTCGACATCATCAAATCAACCACAACCTACATTCGTTATTTCATCGACGGTTGCAAGTACGATGGATACAGCAATGCTGTCACAAAATTCGGTTCTCCTTGACGTTGGAAAACCTTCCACAGCCGCCATAAATGAGATTGAAGACATGAATATTACCGATTATCAACAACCATCACCACCATCTGGCACTCATTTCGATGACGATGACACAACGGCTGATGATGACGATGACAATAGCAACAGCACCACCGCCAATGGAGATGCAAAGAAACAAGTAATTTTCCTATTATTTTTAAAGTAGACAAACACATAAATCACAACTTCTCAAAAGCGATAATCATAATAACTAACTAATTTCGTAACCATTATGAATGTTACATCTTTCTATCAGAGAACAAAAAACAATGTTAAATAAATATGAAGCTCAGTTTCTTGTACTGAATACTCAATAGGGTGCATTGTTTTCATAAAATTACCATGGGTACCCCCAAAATCTATGTTTAGCGATCCCTCATTTGAAAGGTCAAATTGGATTTTTTAAAATTTGACTTTTGTGAAAAGTACCGAAAGGTCAAATGAAAGATCGCTAAAACACACTATTTGGGGAAAAAAATCATTACAGGAGTTCTCCATAGACAACCTCCCGACATAGAATCTTTAAACAAAAATTATGCACCCTAATACTCATAACAAAAAAAAAATGAAGAAAAAAAGCTACAACAAAATCGATCAAAAAATAAACATCAACAAAGCATGAAAATGTCACATGATACGCCAGTGCCAAACAATTTTTAATCTTTCTGTATCTTTGTATCAAGTTATTATCGATGTTAAAATGTTCCAATTGTGAAAAAAAGAAGAATAAAAAACACATTTCCGAATGAGAATTTTTCGCTCTCACGAATAAGCTCCATGAAATGGCGTGCAATTTATTTGTCTTTTGGAAGTTGACTGTTGTAAAAATTTAATATAACATAAAGCTGAAATTGTTCATTTATTTTCCGAAGAAAAGATGGTTAAAAAAAAGTTTGAATGTCATGCATCATCTGCTATTTAACCGTAAATGTTGAACTGTTCAAATGAATACTTTACTTAAACATTTTTTTAGCTAGGAGTTAAATTCCCTAATTATAATTGTTCGATCTTTTTTCCGTTTCGTTGCTGACGTTAGCAACTTAAAATAACTATATACTTTTTTGTTGTATTTGTTCTAATGACAGCGAAAAGAGAGAGAGAAAGAGAGAGAGAAAAACGAACCACGAGAAAAAGACAGGTAGATCAACTCGTTTGCGGTTAATGACAATTTCAATTAGTATTTTCAGTATGAAAGAAACAAGCAAGTACATAAAAATGATACTTATATTATATACAAAAGCCGTCGTCGTTGTGAATCTATTCGCCAAATGTCATTAGAATGAAACAATCTAAAAATCATCAATTATCTCGAAATTGATGCAAAAATTCTGTGATCTCAGTTTATTATTATATTACTGCTAAATGGCATATAATTATGTTCTATTAATTATATAAAGAATCATATATTTATTATCTGAGCAAGATAGAGTGAAAGAGAGAAAAAGAAACCATTTTGAAAACTTTTCCAGTGTTTTTTCTGTAGAAAAATTGAAACATTTGATTGCAATCGCTTTGTTGTGTCAGTTCATTCATTTTATATTTTCTTTCTCAATAATTTTATGTAGTAGTGATCCTCACCATTTTTTAACTTATTTTTGTCACATGTAGAAAGTTATTTGATAAGCAAGTGAGCGCCAAGCTAATTGAATTTTGATAAAACACCCAAATTCATACATTTATTGACTACACCACTTCGAGAACGGTTAATTTTCGATTTTGATCTTAATTAAATGCTGTTTCAAATAAGTGAACAAATAATTTTTTTTTTTTTTTCACAATCACGCGCAACTAATTTGGTATTGTTTTTGGTACAGAAATTGAATAAGTCGACTTCAGATGTCGAATTTATGACCCCAAACACTACTCCTCCCTCCCAAATTAATCATTATTACTTATCAAGATTTTAGTTCGTATTTTCGCCATTCAATTTAGAATTTTGTTTAAGGTGTTTTTGTTCTGGTTCCAATTACAAAAAAAAAAAAACAAACACACATACCATGACGTGAATAACTGATGCCATTTTAACATTAAGTGCTAAGTACGATGGTTAAGATTGTAACAAATTAACTGATCATACAACAATTAAATATCAAATCGGTCATTGGCCGTGGATCAAATCCAAAAATGGAAAATCAATTCAATTACTCTTTTACTTCGTAAACTAATATATTCGTAGGATGTAGAGAGACCAGTTTCCTAAAATGTGAGTTGTGCGCGAGTTTTTCTTTTGAAACAAAAAAAGCAGGCTGTTGATCATAACAAGTGCGATTGCAATGTTAATGTGTAGCATATCGTTGTGAGCACGGCATTTGATGCCATTGATTTATCGATCTCATAGACACACAGGCATAAATGATGATGAATACAGTGCAGTTTTCAACGAAGCGTAAAATGATTTTTATGAAACGAAAATAAACAAGAAAACACATAACAATGAACATAACATGAAAACGGTTCAATGAAAATAAAAAAAAAACAAACAAATATGATTAAAATTCAAATTCGAGCGTTTGACTTGTTCGTTTAGCATTTAACCAAAATTAATGCATTTGTTGACATAATTAAATTCAACGGTTTTTTCATCATCATCATCATGATCGTTTTACCTGTCAAAATCTGTTTCATTTTCGTCTTTTCCCCCCTTGTTTATTGTCAATACATGTTCGCTTTATTCTCGATGTGTACGCGTGCGTGCTCGCGCCGTTCAGTCGAATAACAATGACACCATAAAAAGTCATACTTAACCATATAAAATTGAATTATATTCACCATCAAGAAATTTGAACAATAAAATAAAATCAAAGGCATTCTCCTTAAATACATTCATCGTTCGCTGAGGCCCACCTCTATTGAATTAAATAATAAATATCCATAATAATGCATAATAATAGAAAACCATTTATGAGCACACACATTTACATAAATTGTTGAAAAGAATATCTACAGGTATGTTTTGAGGAGAGAGAAGAAAAAAACAGCAACACAAATAATAGACAGCAAAAATTGAAATCAAACAATGTGAATAAACGAGGAAGAGAATTTACCTTGTTTTTTTATAAGAAAAAAAAATCATTAAATTTATGCACATGCCATGGACTATTTCTCTTAAGGTTGGGTCAAAACATTTTCACATCTTTTCAATACAATAAATGAAACGAATCTTGTGGCAAAAACAAAAATTACGCATACCATTTTCTAGCTTTAGTTTTAAAAAAAATCATTTTATATTCGATGAGAGCAAAACGTGGAAATCTTCATTGATACAAAATGAAAATTGAAGCGCATAGCCATTGTCATCCACATAAAATTGAATGAAAAACAAACTAAATACATTTTTGACTGGTTTGAGCAGTGGTTGTTGTAGTTTACACAAAAGTGAATTACTTTCTTCGTTCTGAAGAGATAACTATTATATTGTACGCAGGTGTTTCGAATGGCCTTAAAAATGAATTAAAAACAAATATTTAAAACAAAGACGTTGATTTAAACAACTAAAAAAAATGTTGCATTTTATACATACAAACAGATTTAATGAACTAAAATGCGATGTGAAGAATGAACGAATATTTAAAAATTCACAGTGAAATGAAATCAATAATACGTAAAAACACATATACAAAGAAACAAGTGCTAATATTTTCTGTAGATTGCATTTAATGCAGGAATGAAACAAATAAACAAGTGAAATTAGCTGAGAATGAAAAAAATACGCTACTAGTTTAAAGCTAAAACTCTTATAATACATAATTTATTTTTTCGACACTATTTTTTAAACATTTGCACGGAACACACCGTTTCGAATGGCCAAATGTAGAAAGTAATGGATATTTTCATTTTGCGTTACTTGACGCATATGAAACGAATATATTTTAATTTTTCCTCTTTTTTTTCTTCAAAAAAAACCCTACAAAATAATGTCGAAAAAAGGATATTGTTAATAGTTCATTTTCAATGAGGCAACCATGGGAGTCTAGCTTTTGTGACTCCCGCTAAGTAGCTACTCAATCGGCCTACATTACAAAAAAAAAAACAAACAAAAAAACGAAATTACTTCGATTGAATACTAAAAAGAAGAAATAGCTGTAAGAAATAAAAATCACTCTATATGATGAGGTAATGAGCTTTATGCAACATTTATAAAAGAAAGAGAAATAAAACGGCAACAATCCAAATTAAACGAAAGAATTTTACAAAAATGAAAGCCAGTTTTTAGATAGATGTTAACCGATGTTGGTGTTCTGAAGACTAAAGAAAATCATACAAAATTACAAAATAAATTTACTTTTGTCGTTATAAGATGAAAAAAAAAATACACTGAAAATACAATGTTTCGTTCCCATTTTGATTGACTTCGATTCGAGGTTGATTGAACCTCATTTCTAGAGTTTATTTTTGTATAAGTTTCTTTGTTCGTAGTCGTTGTTTTCTTTTTCTCACACTAAAGTCTTCTCTTTCTTTGGTGCTTGAAAATGAATCAAACAAGAAAATGCAAACGCATTAAGCATTGGGAACATGATTTTAAATCGACCTTGACAATTTTTCTAGGATATACAGAGGCAGAATAAGTACACGGTGCATATTAAGACAAACGTGCAATTGGCATTATATTTAAACAACATAAACAAATATGTACATTGTACATGTATATCAATAAATTTAACAAATAACAAAAGAAAAACAATCGATGATCTGCTCGCTAATATTAATGTTACAATTAATTATTTTCTTTTTTAAATAAAACAATTTTTATGTTTAGTGAATTTTCGTAACTTATTTTCAAAATGAACATTAAAACATTACAATTAAATCTTACTTGTATGACACTCTTTATCTTAATGTAGTTATTTAAAGGCATTATAACTTCTCTCTATATATAACAATCAGATTGAAAAATAAATTATGGACACAAAAATTATTCTAAAAAAAACCGTGCGTATTCTTTCTTATGTTTTTGCTCGCGCACATTTTTAGCCATGGCTGCAGCCAGCGGAGAAAAAAAGTGTAAGTATTAAAAGACAGAACTTGAAGAACAAACAAAGGGAATTTGTATTTTCACTCTCTTCGATAAGATCATTGCCGGCGTTGATCTCTTGATTAAAATGTTCTCACATATCGACATAAGGTACACTCTTTCCCCGCTCTCAGTCGTTGATGCTGTGCTGAACAAATACGATGCGACTTGAGTCGGCGGCGCGACAACAAAATCTTTTATTTGGGAATAACTTATTTATTGGCTTGAATTTTATTTTATTATTGTTGTTGTTGTTTGGTTTTTATTTTGCTTCAAAAACTGAAATAGCAGACAACGAACGAAAGAAATCAATGGAACAACGGGTTCAACGTGTGAGGTTGGTTAATAATAATAATATGGTAACACACAACAAATTAAATATTTATTGTTATTATGTGCTTCAAAACAATGCTCACAATTCGTATGTGAACAGACAGATCACACCACACAAATGCTGCGACGCAGCGAGCATGAAGAAAGAAAGAAAGACAACAAGGCTCGCGCGAGCGACTGCAACACAAGACCATGAACACACCGAGTCTCAGTCAGACACATGAATGCCAATAAATTTTCAGACAAATCGAAGCTCAAAACATGCATACGGCATTTCTATAAACCGCCTATGATAATATAAAGTTATTGAAATCAATATTGGTGCGATTGGTGTGATGTATTTGGATCGGCTTTGAATGCATATTCGAGCATATGGAGCCGACAAAAATTGCCGAGGATAAAAGAAAACAACAGTTTTCTCGAATTGATTTAGATGTTGGCTATTTGTTGTTTATATCGGTTCGATGGAAATTCATTTTGATTTTACATATTTGATATTGACACTCTCTTAACTATCTTTGCTAGATAAATGCATGCATTTGGACGTGCAACCAAAATTGATACCATTCTCCATTCTCTCTTGTCGTTTCAATTGAAGTGTGTGTGTGATCTCTTTTCTGATTCATTCAAGCCAAGGTACTGCGTTTTTTTTTTTTTTTTTTTTTAATACAAATCTGAATAAATAAACATACTGCTGCAACACAATTCTAACGAGTTAAAATTTATGTTCTACAACACGATTTGCTTTAGTTTCTCTCTTTGATTTGTTTTGACCATTGCTTCATAAATGCATCCAGATGAAAAGAGAGACCATGACCATAATTTTTATGCTCTTTTTTGGCTGATCACTGAAAATGATTTTATGACCGCACACAATAACACACACACACACACACAAACCAAAAAGAACCAATTCTCTTGCATGGCACTCCTTAAATAACAAAATCCAGTCACACAAACACAAATTTACATTATAATCGAATGAAGTGGTTCTTATCGACCACCACAATATGTCACCAACGTGCGCACTCTAACACTATACACACTGGATCGATACTGTACATTGAAGAGATTCATTTTTTTAAATAAATAAAACCGACACAGAACGATACAAGATTCACGCGTACGTATATATACAATGGCCCATTAACACATGATCACCGTTCTGTTTTTTTTTCTGTTGTGCTTTTGATATAATCGTATTATCGGTGTGGTCTTATTTTGAAATGACTATTTTCCCATAAATCGATCCAATAAATATATTTATAAACTGAAACTGAATCAAGCGATAAAAAACGATCAGCTCAACTCTATTGTATAAAAGCTATTGTTATCTATATGGAATAGCGGAATAGAATCGAGAGAAATATTAAGTTATAAATTCAAAGATTTGGTCGGTCGACCGACGGCTGGCCGTCTTAGATTTTGAATTCAATTCGCGCACTCGATATAATTTGTAGCAATTTTTGCTGCATTCTTTTGGATTAAATCTAATTCACAGACAATTCCAATAAAATGTGTACTTAGGAGAAGAATCTCCATCGTCTTGGCAATGCAAAAGGAAAGAGTTCAAAAGAGAAGAAAAATTCATAAATTATCCGTGAAATGTTCAATTTCGAAGCCAATAAAAATCTTCGTTTTTTTTTCACCAAAACTGCATTTGCATTTGATGTATGTGTAAAAAGATAATATAACAAGGATCAAAATCAATAAAACTCAGATGATTCCATCTTTTTATTCTTCAAAAGTGTAAATATTAAAATTTGTTACATTCCATCAAAAATCATTGAGAGTTTTAAAATGACCAGATTTTTAGATGTTTATCATTTGGTATCCTGTTTGTTTTTCTGTGTGTGAATCAAGTGTTGGCATCTGGAATGTTGAAGAAAGAATGTTTAAACCATTTAAATGATATCTAATGCTCGTTTGTGGATTTAAGAAAGGCTTCGAATGGAAAGCAAGAGACATGCAGTGAGAAAAAAAACGAAGAAAAAAACTCCAAATCGAAAGAATGACAAAATAAAAGTGAGAAAACCGGTTCATTTGAGTGATTCTAAAACTCTTGACAAGAGAAGAAGAGAATGCAAAGTAAGCCTGAACAACATGAAAATGCGCCATGTAGAAAATGTGTCGAAATCGAAAAAATACACTTAATAAAATGAGTGAATAAATAAAATGAGAATTAAACGATGTTTATACGGGTCAATTCAAATGAGCGCTTAACACATTCGACTGTATGAGTGTGTTCGCGTGTGTGTGTGTGTGTACTGTGTGCAGTGCACATCACATCTCGGTTGCAATCTGTTCGATTATTGTCATTTTTTATCGCAATCTTTGCATTTCACTAAATCGTGATGTCAATCAATGGCCATGGTAATGCAGAAAAAATTCATTTCCCGTATGAATCTTTGATTCCATTCAGATTCAGTTGCCAAATGATTGAATGTAATAATTAGTGTGTGTATATAGTATAATATAGCATGACTACTGCATGTACACCATTTCTTGTTTAAAGAATGGAGAGCATTTTATACATTTTAATGCAATTTTTATACAAGAAACTCCCTTTTCCGTGGACTTGTACACAAAAAGAGAATCGAAATCATTTATTTATTTAGAAGAAAAGAGAGTCTCCGATTGCATTTTCAATTGGTTCCAATAAATTTGATTGATGAAGTCATTGCCCAATGACCGTTATCGCTGTTGAAGATCACCAAAACACCGAAAAAGGAGAGCCGAAAAAAACACGATAACAACAACAAGCATAGAGCGAACAAATAATCAACTTTTGTGTCCCTTTCGGTCAATCCGGTAATGTGTGCATTTGATTCACAACATGTCAAATTGTTGTTCCTTACTGCTGTGTGAGATATACATGCATACTTTTATCATTTGTATGTTATTTCTTTCTTCGTATTCTCTATCTCTTGCATCTTCTCGTTGCGTCATTGTTGTTGTATCATTGTTTTTGACTGTCGCTGCTGTTGCTTCTGCTGTTGGCTGTTGTAGACACACACACACACACTTATATTACTTTGACAATGTTGTTTCTTCTCTCACTATCTTCCATCGGCGATCTCGATTGCTTATATTTTTCTTAGTGTCAGTCCATTTATTTACCTTGTTTGTTGGAGCATTTTTGTTCGTTGTTCTCGATCATCATCGAATGATCGTCTCTGTTGTGTTTATCGTTTCATTTATTTACACAATGAATTGTTGTGATCTTTTATGCGTATGCATGCGTCCATATATATACATACAGTTCAGCTCAAATTGTCCATCGTAAGTACATGCTCACAAAACGAAAAAAAAAAAATAATAAAAAAAAATAAAAGCAAATCCCGAATGAAGAGACACCAGAGTGAAAAACAATGAGTGAGAGACACACATTTTTAAAATATTTTAATTTTGTTCATGTTATTTTAAGTGCAGCTACCACACTGCGCCGTGCACTATTAATTTTAATTTCTTTCTCTTGGTATAAGCCCCACGATGAATCAATGTGCGACGCACAAATGGCAAACACAAAGCTCAACGCAACGGACGAAGAAGAGAGCAACACACCGGCAAAGAGAAATGTGAACTCTCAGAATTGTGATAAAGCGTACATTCTAACAGATATGACCCCATGAAATAAAAAAAAAAAAATAAAATCCGGATAAAGAGGAAGGAGCGACTGTTTATATTTA